GTTGTTCCTAGACAAATGTCTGGAGAAGCTCAACTTTTGACCGTGCTTCAGACGTTGGGTAAAGATCCTTCACACAAATGCAACGACTAGAGTCACAGTGAATGGTAATCTAGCTCCGCCCATTAAGCTTCAAAGGCAAGTCAGGCAAGGCGACCCTTTAGCCCCGTACTTGTTTGTCATTGTCATGGAAGCGCTGACAGCCAATCTGAGGAAACACAAAAATATCAAAAGAATACAAGTGTCTTTAATACCGCATGAGGCAATTCCAGTCTGTTTTTTGTTTGCAGAACATCTGACAACAATGAGCGAGGCTTTCCATAAATTGATGGCAGAAGTCCAACACATGATGGATCGATTTTGTAGACTAGCAAATATGAAGGTCAACTGGGGAAACAAAACCCAGGGTTGGTGGATACACCACCAAGGAGTGAGACCCCCAAAAGAACCCAGACTCAAATGGATACCAAAGAGAGCCCCAATAGGGTAGTAGGGGTGTTGATGTCAGCAGAAGGTAGGCCGGCTACCAATAATGAATGGATCTTTGACCCACCCCAGGAAAATATGACACTATAGAAGGACAAACATACCTCGCTGATAGGACACTCCCTAATAATAAATAACGTTACTCGCCTCCTTGTGGTACAAATTTGTCATCTGGGCCTTGGACAAGAATGCCCTACGGCCCTTGCAACGTCAGATAGCCGCTTTCCTATGGAGGGGAAATCATGAGGAGTGTAATGTGATCAACAGAGTGGCTTGGCAATCTATAATCCAACCCAAATCGAAAGGAGGTTTGGGCATAATAGATCCCTCGTTACAAACTAAGGCTCTTGCGTTACAATGGCTCAAATGTCTACTTTTCAATCAGGACACCCCGTGGAAGGGGCTAGCCTAAGAACATATCACTCGTTTGGCGCCACAAACAGTGGAGGGGAGTGACTCGTTGATGTGGCTAGAAAATAGGGAATGACCCATCCCAAGAGAGACGCACATCATTGTCATCCCCCCCGTGATTCACCAGACAAGCAGCAAGGGCCGACCTAAGCAACGACCCCTTTTGGCCTGACCTCCTGAAAACATGGAGAATTCTGCCCCGGCCGGATAGAACCCCACCAGAGAGATGGAAAGAGGTGGCACGACAACCATTTTTCGGGAATAGATGGATGACAGACACAAAGGGTCAAACTCTTCATTGCATGGACTCCCAATGGCAAGGTTGGGTCAGGCAGGGAGTATCAAGGGTACATGATATATGGGATACGGAACAAAGAAACTGGATCGACTCGGGCCAGCTAAGAAAGAGACTACGCTACTGTCATCGACCGGAGGATGTCTTGGAAGCCATAATACAAAAAATCCCCCTAGCCTAATGGAGAGTCCTAAGGAAAGGCCCCGCCCTTCATGAATCGGACTGGGTGGCATTGAGGGATAGTTCAAGTCAGGTGGGCAGCGTAGTTCATTGCGAACCTGACGGACTAATAAGAGTAAATCTCTTCCAAATAGGCTGGAACAATATCCTCCAAAGAACTTCTCCAGAAAAAAAACAATACTATGCCAAAAAAATGACCTATTCAGAATCAGAGTGCTCCATGAAAAAGAGCAATGGAACGCCTACCACCCCCGGACCCCGATCCACCAACTCGCCCTGGACCTCGTAGAATGGACATGAACAACACCGGCGGGGAAGGGTAGGAAAGTCACCAGATTATTATACGACCTTACAGTAAAATCGACCTACAGATTCGTTAGGCCGAGAATAAACCTTCAGGATCGAGTGGAGGCACATTGGATGAACCACTTAAATATTGACAAGGACAAGTTAAGAGATATAAAGTGGTTCAGCATGATCAAGGAAAAACCAGCAAAATTTACTTTGCTGCAATGGCAGATCGAGCACCGCTTCCTGCCGACTAATGATTGGCTGATAGAAAGAACGAACCTAGAACAGAGAGGGCAAGCCCTGCCCTGGTGTAGGTTTTTGCACCAACGCGTTCCCTTCCAAGAAAGTGCCAGAAACAATCGAACACACTTTCTTCAGTGCCCAGGAGCGGTGAGGCTATGGATATGGTGGGATAGAATCTGGGATCAACTAGAAACCCAGATCCGGTGGCCGTGGGATTGGAAACCCTTGCTATGTGAAACCTATCTTAAGGACCAACTAGATGATTTCACTAGCAATATGTTCAAACTAGGCCGTAGGGCGGTGCTCTGGGCCCTCTGGCGACGACGCTACACTTACGAAATGGACCACTGGAAGGTCGAGAATTTATGGAAAGCATACAACAACAGATCCAAACTGAAATAAAAAAAAAATGGGAGAAAGTCAGGACGCAGATCCAGCTATTACACTCACCAAAAAATATCCAACAAAAAATCAAGGAATTTAGCCTGAGCTGGCTTGGAGGGGATAATGGGGGGCGGATTGGGGTAGTTGAATGGAAAGGTGGACAAAAAGACCCAGGGGAAGGACAAGGGAGGAGGGCTTTAGTAAGAGACTACCGGCTCCTTTTTCATGAGTGGACTAAGATTGACACAGCAATCCCCATGAGACCCAGTGAAGATTTCCCCGATCCCTTCCCCCCCCCTTCAAACTGCTTGGTAGGTTTGGACTGGTATGGGAGAGATTGAGGACGAATGGAAAAGATGGGGCCAGGGTGTCAGGGTGCAGGGTTTTACGGATCAAGGGCCTTGAGGTTTATGGAACTTCCCCAAGGCAGGAGTGCAAGTCTCCAGGGAGGGTGAGGTGGGGTCTGACGTCTGTCTTTGAGGAAGGAGGAATTAGCATAAAACAGCAGGAATCAGGCGCCATCTTTAGGGTGAAGAGATTCTTCCCCCCTCTTTTTTCAAGAGCCTGCTCAGTCAATCCCCTGAACCCAGGGTAATCAATGCTGACAGGCATCCCCAAAATCGTTTCAGATACGCCCCATACTCAGACTGTATAAGGCTCGGACCCCACCGGCCGGCGGCTGGAAAAGAGGTGTGGCCACGAAAAGCGGGCAAGTCATTTGGGAAAGTTGGAAAATACTTCTTCCGGGACCCCACCGCCGAGGACCAATTGCTCTTGGAAAACCCTTTGCAAATAAGTTCAGCCAATCGCGTTTGTTTCGATCTTTTCTCCATTTTTTTTTATTGTTTTTTTGTGGCACTCTTCATTGCTATTGGCTGCTGCCTCCGGTGGGAACACAAACCTTGCAGGTCCCCGATGCCAACGGCTGGCGCTTTGCCCTCCCTACCCTGTTGGAGGGCGTTTTGGAAAAGAGCGCCGGCCGCGGGCGGAGACTTTTCCATCTGCCAGCTATGTAGAAACACGGCTGGCGGTGTCTCGGAAACGGCGGTGGGGTCTGAAATAGACGTCGCCAGACCTCTGGAAAACTTCCTGGCGGCCCAGTGGGGTCTGAAAACGCCCTTCCATGCCAAAACTTTTCCAGCCGCCGGCCGGTGGGGTCCGAGCCTAAGGGATGCTGGACCCGTTTTCCAGCAGGTGATGGAGCCGCCCTCCAGGTGCTAGCGGTGTCTGCTCTTATCAGCACCACTAACACTGGTAGGGGCGCTTTGCAAAAAAAAAAAAAAAAAAAAAAAAAAAGAGGAATATAGCTTATCGTTTTTTTAAATCTTTTTTTCTTCTTTTTTCTTTTCAGATTGAACATCATTTCAGGCCATATCCTCTGCCCTCTGGGTGGTAAGAGCCCCTGAAGGTAGAAGGAGGCAGAGTTCTGATGGCTGCATTCTTTTTTTTTTTTTTTTTTTTTTTTTTTTTTTTTGATTCAAACCTCGATAGCTCCATTCTGTTCTTGGGGAGCTGCACCTGCTGGAAACTGGGTCCAGCATCCCTTATTTATACATGCCAGTCCGAACAGATCACAATAAAATAAACAAGGGAGAGTTCCCTCCTCCTTCTAAACTGAACAGCAGACTTTGCAACCACTTCACCTTAAAGGCGCCAGATTGGACTGGGTAACTAGTTAATCAAGTCTACTGCCTTCTAAAAGCCCAGTTGAGCCTGGGTGAGTTCTTGTCGATGTCCTTTTCATATTATGAAGTAGTTAGCGCACCGCATTCAGCTTTAGGGACCAGGGGGGGTTGGAAATCACGCTTGTCCTGATTCATGGAGGGCGGGGCCCCGTTAACCATGGCTCAATTCTGATCCCCCAAGCAGTAGATTTCACCATTTTGATGTTATATCCCCAGGTTCTGAAGAACCACGCGTTTCTATTATGTGGAGCCCTGCTGGCCTTTCTCCAATCTGACCAGATGAGTGCCCTGACGTTGGAGAGGACCAGGTTCATTATTGACAGATCAGAGTGAAACTTTTTTCTGAACAACCTATCATTTCTCAGAGACCACATGGTGTACATGACTGCCACTCTGCACGCCATGGCCACATAACACCATCCCTTACCTACGTCTTCTGCATTGGGAATTACACCGTCCACTACAAATTGTTCTCCCCACTGAACCTGAACCCCACTTTTTTTTTTTTCTTTTTTTTTCTTTTTTTCAAGTCCAGGGTGCCAGTTACTAGGCTCACATTGATTGCCGGAAGCTGTCAGCCATGGTTGCCCTGAAGTGACGAGGCTACCTCCCATCCCACCCTCGCGTCAATACTCCTAGCGCACCCCCTATTCCTCATGTTTTAGTGTGAGCACAAAGAGCTTCACGGGCCGACACTTCAGAGGAAGCAACAAAGGAACAAAACAAAATGAGCTCCCCTAACCTGTCCTCGGAGAAGCGCTTCGAGGACAAATCCTCGGGGCGGTTCCGCGGCCCGTTTCATAATATTACAGACGGCCGCAGGAGGGTTTGTCCGGCCTCCGGTTCGGGATGTCCGTGATGAGGGTTCATGGTCCAGGAGGTGCATGGCGGCGTCGCTTCACGGGCCGTGGAAGTGGACGTCCCGAACGCGGGAAATGGCGGTTTCGAAATTCAAAATTCGAATTTCCACGCGTGCACGACGACGCTGAGGCGGCGGAGCGGGGCGTTGGTGGGCAGGGCAGGGCACGGCGCGCAGGGTTTGGTGGTGCTCGTTTGTTTCCATCGCCTCCCGTACTTGAAGGGTGTAGCGTGATGATGGTCGTCATTGCTGTCCACATGCAAAACCGACGACGCACACAGGCGGTCTGCGGTAGGCACGTGTGTTCGCGTTTCCGTGGCCACGACGTCGGCGGCGGCGGGAGACATCTGTGGACACGTCCCTCAAGAGGGGTTGCAGCATGCGAATCGCAGGCGTGTCTTGTTTCGGAGTCGGTGTCATTGGAGGCGATCGTGCGGCGGCGGGCTTCGTGTCCAGGTTGGAAGGAAGCGATGGAGGGTGGCGTTGATGGTTGTCGTGGAGTGTTGTCGCCGACGGAGAAGATAGCGGTTGCAGCTGCCGCGCTAGCCGTCGTGATCCGCAGCCAGATTGAGAGAGCGGCAGGGACGACGAAGGCCAGGCTTTCCGCGCGTCGGCAGAGGCTGCTCGTGCAGAGGGTGGTGGACGTCCCGGATTGCATCACCATTTCGGAGGCCGTCTTCCAGCTCTGCACCGCAATCGGGTGTGGTGTCGTTCCCCGGGCGACTCCTCGATGGTGGATGAAGCGCAGAACAGGGGGCACTTGGGAGGACTTGCGGGTCTGCGACAATGCGAGTGAGGACTACTTTCGAGAGAAGCTTCACATGCCTAGACGAGTTTTCATGGAGATCAGCGAAGCCTGCGCTCCACATCTTCAAAGACAGGTTACCTTCTACAGGGAACCGCTGCAGCCGGAGAAGATTGTCGCTTACGCGCTGTACCGGTGGGCGACAGGAGAGACGTATGACAGGAGCACATCTTCGTTCGGCGTGGGGAGAGCCTCTGGAATTATTGCGGTGCGTGATGTGACATCCACGTTGCCTCGGGTGTACGCGGACAAGATATCGTGGCCAACCGGGGTGCGGAAACACGTCGTGATGCGGGCATCCATGGACAAGGGCTTCCGGAACTGCCACGGAGCGGTCGATTGCAGACACATCTACGTGGACAAAACGGCAAACGCGCCCAGCGAGATCTACTTCGGCCGCAAACATCGTTTCTCCGTGGTCGCGCAGGTGGTGGTCGACCTCAATCTGCGCGTTCTGGACGTTTTCGTTGGGTATCCAGGGAGCTGCCACGATATCAGGATCATCCAACTGTCCAGCCTGTCCAGGCGCGCGGAAGAGGGGACGCTGTTTCGTGGGCCACCTGTGACGCTGCCGGGCGGGGTGAGAACCAACGGGTACATCGTGGGCGACAATGGGTACCCTCCATCGGAATGGGTGGTGGTCCCTTACGGAGGAATCAATCAACATCTTGACGAGGAACGATTCGACACGAAGCAGAAGGTCGCCAAAGGGGTTGTGGAGAGAGCGTTCGGCAGGTTGAAGGGCATGTGGAGGCTATTCTTGCGAACTCACAAGACGAACCTGGACACTTTGCAGCAAGAGTTTACTGCGGTTTGCATTCTGCACAGCATTCTTCTCGATGCAGGGATAGAGTTCAACGAGAATCTGCTATGGGAAGTGGACCGCAATGGAGTGCGACGACGTGTGGATTTGGGAATTCAACTTCCCCCCCAACCAGTGACCAATGCCACTTCAACAGACGAGGCGCTCGCGCTCCAAGACGCATTGGCAGAGCAAATGAAACACTCGTGATCAGCAACATCGCCATCGTCGTCGGCCCTCTCCTACTACTTTGTGTGTGCGAACTGCAGGCATCTCTTATCCATCGCGCCACTGTCAATTACTTTAACATGGTGATGGTCTGTCGACTTCCATCGTCTTCGTGCAGGCGGTTCGGATGGTGTACAGTGTCTTCTTTCACAGTTCCCCGCGGTGCATGGACGGTGCACTATTTTTGGCGATCCTCGATCATCAGGGTGGTTGTTCGTCGTGTTGATGAGTGCTGCAGTCCGTCCACCGTGGTGAGTTCGGTATTTGGGTAGTTTTACTTTCCAAGCTAGGTGTGACAGTCGACATGCGTCCATCGACGGAGGGGCAGTGGACAGGTCGAGTGGCGGTTTGGGATGTCGGTGGGTGGCATTGGTGATGGCGTCGGGGATGGAGGTCCTGTGTGCGGACGTCGGCGTGCATTGTTGTTTTTGCTCCCTGCAGAGAGGACTTGTCTCGTCTTACGAGCGCTGGTCGAAGCTTTCGTATATTTCACTTTTTTTTAACATTGCATTTCTTTCGTGAGATTGTGTTCGGTTTGAGTGCAACACTGTGACACTGTATCCTTATGCATGCGAAGGTTCATTCTGTCGTCTGTCGATTTCGATGTTGTTCGTGGATGCCATCCGAAATTCTTTGCATTTCTTCATCTGCTTCGTCAGTGCATTCGTGTTAAAAAAACAAAAATGATTGGAAAACAAGTCAGTGGATAAAGAAGACAAAAGCAAAAACTTGAATGGCATCGCAATACCCATCTGTCATCGCAGCAAATCGGAACACTCCCTTCCATTCAATCATTTCTGGTGTCGCAGACACTGCATGTCTGTGCACACGACGTTGAGTGTGGGCGATAATCGCATGTACGTACACGGTTATACGTAGTCAAATGACTGTCGAAGACGACGTGAGGATGCCGCGTGAAACAAGCATTCAAACAGCAATACAAATGAAGCGTATGAAAAACACTTCGCGTCATCTACACATTGCAATATCGTTATATCACACATCGCAACCGAAACCCGGTTGCGCAATCTTCCCAGTATTCAAAGTCTTGAACCATTGTGCCCAACGGTGAGAGCACATGAAACTGAACAGCTTTCCCCCTATCTCTCTTCCTCTCTTTAACCGTCTCTCTCTCTCTCTCTCTCTCTCTCTCTCTCTCTCTCTCTCTCTCTCTCTCTCTC